AAATTCCAGTGTTCATGTGTAAGTAGAAAACAAGAACCAAAAAAAAAATGCTAGTTTTAGGAAGCTGAATGTTTTCTATATTTTTTAACAGAATTGAAGCTATTTAAAAAGCAGCACCAAAAAAAAAAAAAGAAGTTTTATGGTAATAAAACTGATATGTTCACAATCACAATCCATATATTTCAATTTAAATTAAATTTTTTGTAGCTGAGTGGGATGAAACTTTTAAAAGCCTCTCAGCTTTACCAGTGGTGGAGTTTCATTTTACCACTGTTTGTAATTATCTACTTACACTAACATAACAAATGTGGTGCCTCCAGCAAAAAGCTAAAGGTTGATGAGAAAGAGAATGAAAAAGCACCTAAATGTTAGACTAGTCAGCAAGATTTTCAAGTTTGTTAAAATTAATACAAGCTATCATTAGAGTACTCTACAGTTCAGTGCTTCATAAATAGGAAAAACAAAGCAGTAATGTTTTTCGTAGCTTTCAGCTTCACTTTTATGGGGTTTCATCTTCCTCTAACAAATCAGGATGCAGAACAGCTCATAAAGCTTCCAGTATAGGCCAACAGTATAATAATTCATTGTGTGCGTCCTGAGCCACTTACAACTTGAATGCATCCGGAATGATTGAAAAAATATATCCGAATTACATAAAATACAACAGCCAAGAACAAAGAATTATCTCTCTCTGCTCTAGGGTGAAGGTGGAGAGCTCTTCAATACTTTGCCTGCTTCACTGACTGACCCAGTCTCGGCAGAGAAAAATAAAAAAGCTTCTTCGCTTCTGTCTGCTGAGTCCTGGGTACTGAAGAACAGTAGGGTTCCATCCAACTGGTGACTGATATTTTCTAAAATGAAATAAAACATCAAAGTATAACTCAATAATTTATGCAGCAAAAAGCATGGCAAAGTGGTTCAGACTGAGTACTGAGGCTGCTTCAGAAAATGACATTGTGGGAGAATCAGTGCCAACTAACTTCAAATTTTGAAAGCTTATTCAAAATGAATGAGTGCATTACTTACCATATGATTTTATCAGGATAGAAGGTAATTCCCACAATGTTTTAAGTCATTCACAGCCTTGATCACTAATGGTGAAACTTTCTGGATGTGCCAAGAAATCAAAAGACCTGGGAATATCAGAGAGGGTGAAAGAATTCTTTGGTAATACACTGAGTTACTCAAATACTGTTTTAAAAATGTTTGAAATTTTGAATGATTAATTTATTCAGAGAATCATAGAGCATTTCTTAATAAAGGTTCTATGCAGTAATTCATACACCTCTTACTCAGATGCCTATAATACAATCATATCTTATTACACTAAGAAATATTTGACTGACCTGACTCACAAAAACATCTAAAAAATCATGGAAAATCAAGTGAAGATAAATATTGGGCTACAATCCCAGTAGCAAACACAAACCTATGTCTTTGTATATAATCAATTATCAAGAGCTATTAAAAGCCCCTGGTCCAACTAGGGACTGCTGAACAGAGAAGGAAAATATTTGGCCTGCATAGATCTGAAGGTCTTTTGGGCTCTTCAGTGATGCAAGGCTTTGACAAAGAAATATATATGTAGAAAACCAAAAGCATATGGTTCTAAAAATAGACATAACAGTTTTAACATTCACATAATATTTGGAATATGTAGCGTCCAGATACCAGGACTTCTTTATTTTTGAATGAAAGGTGCCAGATTCCAAAACAAAGCAAGAGAGAGATTTTTGGGTTTTTCTGAAGTGCTAGAAGAAGCTAGAAAAATGAGTGTCCTCACCTTTTTATATATAAAATTAAACATTTAGAAGGAGAAAAAACATCAGATCAATCCAAAATCAAATTTTTCAGTGGCAATCTGAGAACTCCCATGCAAGCCAGCAGCACTTCTCTGCTCTGGAACTGCAACACCCAATCACTACTTTTACCATGTTCAAAAACACTGTTTCTAAAAAGCATAAACGAAAATAAATAATCTTTCTTTCAGGTATGAAATGCATGTTAGAGGAACTGCAAACATGAACTGAAATGTCAGCTTACTATTACCATAATTTTACAAGGTTGCAACACATAAAATAGGGAATAAACTTTCTCTTTTTGGAGAGGAACAACAATAATTATCATTGCCCAGGGCTTTTCCAAATGGGATCTTTTTCTCCTTTTCTCCTTATCCATTACTTAAAAAGGAATTTTTCTACATTTTTCTACATGCTTTAAGCATGTATTTTTATCTCTCTTTATATTCAGAGGCCATCTGGTAACAGAATCAATCTCAGAAGAACAGAGGCATCAAACAGAGTTACCAAAGTCCAGATAAGTGTTTCTTACTGGTAAATGTTTCACCCTGAATCAGTCAGTGACTCAAAATTTCTACCACCTTCTGCTCAGCTGTGTGTTATGTTGTAACCATTCATCAAGGAGGAAATCCATAAATTCATGACATATCCACAAAGCAGAATTTTAATAACAGATTATAAGAATGGTGAGAGATTCTGCCAGCATATTCCTGTAAATATTTATAGTTCTCTGACAAGTATGACTGAGATTCGAGGATGCAACCTGTAAGAAAGTCCTGTCTCCCTGGCTGAGTATGATGGTAGGGCCAGTGAGTTTAACTTGTTACTCCATTTGGATTTATTAGTATGGAATTCTCTCTTCTCAATCCTGTAGAACAGAGAGAAGTGACAGACAGAAATATATGAGGCAGTGAAACAAAAAAAAAAAAGGTATGCCATTTCCACTATAATTAAGTCCATTTGGCTTCAGCTTTAGAAGCAAGCTATTTTAGGCTCTCTAGTGATGCAAGGACTTAACAGACAATGAAATATATATTAAAAAACTGAAAGCAAATATGTGTAAAAGTGTCCATAATATTTCATTCATCTATATGCTTTAATCCTGGCGAGGATTATGGAAGGGATTTACAATTTAAATTTTAATATCACACTGCCTTATAAAACCCCTGATTTTTTGCTTTGGTTTGTATAAGTAATTCTAAAAACCTTCACAACAGCAATCACTCCCTAGTTTTCTGATTTTATATCAAAATGAAACAGGAAGCTTCTGTTTGACCCAAAACTGTCTCATCAATGGTTTCTCAGGGTCTGCTCTCTGCACTGCTGGCAGCCTGCCAGGAGCCATGGCCCCCTGCCACCAAAGTGCCACCCAAACCAGGAGTGTCCATCGCCTCCACAAGCAGAGCAAGAGGAAAACCTTGTCTGGACACCAGTCCTGGGCCTGTCCCTTTGACCACTGCTCAGTCACAGTCCCTGAAAAGCTTTTCTTGTTTGGACAGGGTGCTGAAATTGGTATGAAAACACTCCCCAGGTATGGTTTGAAGGTTAAAGAAGCTGAAGCATTTCTTCCAGCTCAGAAATACCAAGTGCCTCGTGAAGGGATGGCAATAGCTCTCAGGAGTTTCTGTGGAGTGCCATCTTCTCGAACTGTCAGGCACTGGCTTTATTCACAAATCTGTGAATCTCTGAGAATGCTACAGGCAAAAATCCTACCCCTGTGGTGCATCTCCAGCATCTTCTCAGGAGCTTTAAAACCTAGGCCTTAGAGTCTTTTCTCATTAATTTTGAGCAGGCAGAACACACAGGGGGAATTCAGTTTGTCTACCTTGTCGCTGCTCAATAAATGAAATTCACAGAGGAAATGTCACAGAGCCCAGAGTCCCCAAACAACAATGTTGCAATCTGACTTTTCTTTCATTTGGGAAGATGTGGTTATCTTTGAATAAAGACCTCATATCCCTGGTAGTGATCAGTTCCACAAAATTTTTGTGTCAGTTGTGCTGAATTTGAATATGCTGTAAACTTAGGACAAAATGCTGCCTCAACTTTGTCTGACATCAATACAGCTTTAATGAATCTGACCCTCCAATTCTCAGCTCTCAAAGCCACCAGCTCTGGTGCAATGAACTGACACATTGTTTAGCATACATTTTTTAAATCTCATTTAATTTTATAGTAGATTTTTTGTCTTAAAACCTTACACTTTTATTGAGCAATTAAGCTGCGTTCTCAGTCAAGGGGAAGAAATTCTCATAAAATAGAAATAAGCTAAGCAGAAATTTCTAGACAGAAGTTGCATTTTTATTTCCTCCACCATAATAGGAACAAGTATTTGCTTTGTAAAATAAGATGCAGAGTCTTCTAAAGAGCTGAAAATGACAATTGATTTATTTTTTTTTTCCCTGAAGTGAGTTGAAGGTTAGAGTTCTTGGTATAACAAACTGCTTCTGGCATACTGGCCTTATTAGATCAGTCAAATAAAGTGAACAATAGTTGTTGGAATCTTTTTCTGACTGATGGCTGTTTTCAATGCATCACATGCTGAATTTTTTTTCCAGAAAACACGTTTGTTTTAATGAGAACATTTTAAAGGTAACCTTGCTGCCATCAAACTATACAATCCCGTATCTGTCGTAAACAGTTCTGGTGTTAAGGCAAGATGACTGGAGACCTCCTTGTGATGGTTCAGTGACTACCAGTGAATCTTTTACATGAGGCTTAAAAGCATAAAATATTTTGCACAGTACCTGAGTATGTCTTCGACTGCAATAATTATAAAATTAAGTTTTAACAAATGTGAATTTGAAGGAGATTGCTATTTGTAAGACAGCATCAATGATTTTTATTTCACCTCCATTCTTATTAAGTTGCTCTGGTAGCTTAGCCACCATGAATAAGAAAGAAAAAATGTACACTTAAAATAAACACATGAAACTCCCTAGAATATTAAGACCCTCACCAGTATGCATTTCATTTGAAAAAAACATTAAACCACAAAACCAGTGCTAATCTATGGAGACATCCTTTCTTTTTTGCTAACTAAATGTCACTGAACAAGTAAAACAGTTCAACAATATGTCTTCTAGAAGACATTAACAACGTTGTTCAAATATGTCTATATATGTATTATGGATACTTACCCACTAAAGTTACATGTTCAATGAACACAAGTACCTTAAAAATTATTTGCATAGAGAAGACATCCATGCAGCAGTAGAGTGGCCAGAAATATATGACAAGCTGTTGTAAGGCTGAATAACAGCTTTATGAATACACATACAGTTCTGGTGTCCCCAGCGTAAGAAGGGCATGGAAGAGTTGGAGCAAGTCCAGGAGAGGCAATGAAGTTGATAAGAGGATTAGAGCAGCTTTGCAGAGAAGATGGGCTGAGACAGTTGGGGCTCAGCCTGGAGAAGAGAAGGTTTGGTGGAGACCTCATAGCAACCTTCCAGTGCCTGAAGGAAGTCAGAGAGAGACCCTTCACAAGGAACTGTACTTACGGGAAAAGAAGGAACGAGTTCAAACTGAAAGGCAAGAAACTTAGGTCAGATGTAAAGAAGAAATTTGTTACAGTGAGGGTGGTGAGACACTGGAACAGGTTGCTCGAGGAGGTTGTGGTGATAGCGAAATCAGCCGGATAGAAACTTTCTAACACAGTTTTGAGTATTAGCAAGCAGGTGTTCTTTTTACACGTGCTGGCCACTCGGGAGATCCTTCCTCCATTTGCATGTGACAAGTGTTGGAACAGAGTTTTTATCACTCACACTGATTACATATCCATTAGCTATCCCACTTCCTTGACCTTATTTGACATAGTCACACCCTACGACAGAAGCCTGACCCATAAGTCAGAAGTCCTTATATGGTTCTTTGGGGGTTTGTCTTCAATGTCCAGTGTCCTTTTTAGGTGGCTGTTCCTTGACCCCTGCTTTTGAGTGATCACAATATTATCATTCTACATAACTTCTGCTTTATCAACCCTGCAGAGCTGAGCTGGTATTCTGCTTGCATTTTGCATAATTTCTGTTTGCCTAAGTTGCATACTTTATTTCTCCAAAGCTCTGCTGCTATGTTCTACTGTCCTTGATAAGAGTAAATGTTGCTCTGCTCTACTAGCCTTATCAAGTGAGTAAAACACTGTTGTGTTCTGCTGTCCTTATCAGTGGATGCTCCATCCCTGGAAATGTTCAAGGCCAGCTTGGATGGGGCTCTGAGCAACCTGGCATAGTGGGAAGTGTCCCTACCCATGGCAACAAGGTTGGAACTTGATTTTCAAGGTCCCTTCCAACATAAACTATTTTATGATTCTATACTTGAAAACTGTTTGAGGCCTGAATGTAGCAGAGATGTGCTTTGGCATCCACAAGAATCCTGGCACCAATAGCATAAAAATAATAGTATGTGGAGCTCTTTAATCTTTACGTATACGTTGCATAAATTAATTATTATTTCAATAATGCAACTTTCTATGGGATTGTCATCGTAGTCCTTTTCTAAAGAAAGAATCCTACTTATCCTATCTGAAAAGCAATGCCACATGAGACTGTTGCACCACTTGAAAGACATCTATTACATTAATTCTTCTGAAGCATGAGTGGAAGTTGCAAGAAAGTGCTTTTATTAATTGTTCTACTCTAGTTTACAGAAGATTGAAAATTCTCTGACTACCTAAACAGTCTTTAACAACAGATACTGATTTTATTTAATCAAAATATATCATATCATCATACCAGCAAAATCTGTTTACTTCACTCACATATAAGAAAAAAATTGTCAAGAAGTTTCTTTGAAATATAATACATAGTATGAAAAATTATAATATAATTATTATTATATTATAATAAAAATTAATATGACATTAATTCATACTAAATAGGAGTGCAATGTAGTTGCAACTGTGTTATTTGAAGTGTTCCAGTATCTTCTATACTAAGCACTAAAATCTCAAGAACAAGGTTTCTTCCGGTATGTACTAAATCCCTGTCCTGGGGTGACCCCAAACCAGGACAATACTTTGCACTTATCATTTTGGAGTGATCATTTTGAATGTCATTTCAAAGATATTTTGCCTGCATTTTCCAATTTAGGAAAAAAAAAAAAAAATCACTATACTTATTTCTGATGAAATATTCCAAATTTTGACCAGTCTCAATTGAAGTCATGCTCCAGTTCATGCTTCATCCCTTTTACAGTGCACTGTGCACTGTATTGCACTGTGTGGAAAACTGAAGAGTTATAACACTGAACTCTAATGACTCTTAGATCAATAAAGCACTGTGACATGCTGTAATCCCAGGTGAAAGGAAAATTGAGCTGGCAATTGACATCTCGGATCTGCCAGTTCCTTACATTCACAGAGACATTATTATTTAGTCTGGTTGAAAGAAATATTCTAATATAACCAAAGGTCAGTGTTGAGTAATAAATCTGAAGCTAGAGTCAGTTTATCATAATACTGTCATGTAAAAGTCACAATGTGTAAGTAAAGGTCAATTTTAGCAAGTCATATTCAAGTGTTTTTCATGTGTGGTATGGCACAAAAACCCTATTCTGTGTTATGTGATAAGTAAATACCGAAAGGTATAACAGTCACTAGATAACATAATAAAATTATCTAATTTTAATCCTATTGTGCATCAGATTTTCAGATTGCACCATCATTCCAGTCATTCTTTTTCATTTTTCAGCACTTCCCCTTTCACCTTACCACACATTCTCCTCCACAAGAGGATAACAAGAAAGAATATTAGCTCGTTCTACAGGTGTTTCTGTGGACTTCTGTTTTTTGGTTCACTGAAGGCATCTAGGGATTGCCATACTATTTAAGGAGAGTTTGACCTAGGAAGCAAGCTAAAGAAATACTATGTACCTTGCTGTGATTCTTTTTTGTAAACTTTTAAATTGATGTAATAGTACTGTTGTACTTTTCTGTCAGCAGAGTCTAATGGTTTAAAAGCAGCACTCTTGTCAAGCAACTAAAAATATGAAAGCATTCACATACCTTAGGACTAGTTTCTCCTTAGGACTGCACATTTCAGCTGGAAACCTCTTCTGTGAATCAAGACTTGCTATCCAAACCTGTAGTCTTGAGAAAGTAGCATCAATGTGGGAGTTGTTTTACACTGAAAATCATGTGAGTGTTACTGTTTGAATATTACATCTTGATGAGAATTAAAAATACATAGATCACATAACAAGGCATACAATGTAGCCTCATGCTCCCTAATAGAATGCAATTCAATCATTGTAGTGGCTGGGTCAAGAGGTAGGCAAGACCTGTGAGTAATTAGTGTGCAAATGACTAATGTAAACATGATAGGTTTAAAAAAAAAAAGAAAGAAACAAAACCCTTGTAAGACACAGATTATAATCAATGTCTTTTCTGGACTTCTTGCTAGTTATATTTACTATCAGAGGTCCACTGAAGTTTTCCACTGCTGTAGACATTTGTATCATAATTGCCATTATCAAACCTTTTATGAAGGCTTGCCAAACATCATTACTATTCACCAGCTTTTTTTCCTTCCCTCTTCCTATGCCTTACCAAAGTGTTTACTATAGAGATGGTGGACATCAACAAGAATTCAATTTATGAAAATTATGTCCACTCTGATCTTTTATTTCAGGAGCAGAAGAGGTTGTGCAAAATTTATATGTTTTATCATGGCACATTAATTTACACAGAAGAAATTTCCAGAACTCTGTCTTTTCCCTTTCATCAATCTAGTCATCGCAACATTTTCTTCCTGGTCTAATCATATATAAATTTTATGCTATTTCTAATTATTTAGTTCTTTAAAATGAGCTGTATACTTCTACCAAGACTCCTAATATTTTCATGCAACATCCATTAAAGGTACTCATAAAAACAAGCAATAGTAAATACCATCTGTTGTCTTTGCTTCCCTCCCTGTCTCACCATCAGGCATTTGTACACATGGATAAACCTGAGCCTTTTTTCTCTAGGCTGAACAGTCCCAGCTCTCTCAGCATTTCCTCATATGGAAGGTGCTGCAAGCCCTTAATCATCTTTGTGTGCTTTGCTAGACTGGCTGCAGTTTGTCCTAGCAATGAGATGACCTAGAGAGAGCACTCCAGATTTGTCTCACCAGTAGAGAGGAAAGGAATCATCAATGTTTCCCAGATTATTATTATTTAACCCATAGAAACTAGGTAGACCTTTTGCCAAAGGAATTTTCTTTTGTGTATCTTTCCAATATCCTTCTATTAGTGCATAATGTACTGTTTTGCACTTCTTGGCAGTTTACTCAAGACCTGTTATTAAAGAACTATTACTCAGATGCTAGTTCCCCTTGGAATTTCTAGAACTAGCTAAGGATTTTGTCTGCATGTTTATCAAACCAAAGTTTCTTGTCCATACAGTTTGCAAGATGTTTTGCCTCCCATGATATCTGTGTTTTACTTACTACATCCTGATTTTGCAGAAGATGCTTTCCCAGTCCTTTCTCCTCAGATACATGTGCTACTCTGAAATCTATTACATTAACTAAATATTTTTCACACATCACTTTTCAATCATTAAAATGATCTCAGGGATGAATAGTAGCAAAAGAAAAAAGATGAACACAAGTTTTATAACAAGTTGTTATAATTCATATTTCAACCATAACTCTTGGATGAAATATGCTAAACCTTTACATACCATAACACACCATCTTTTTACTCCTTTACAATTCCTTGTTTCAGACATAATCAGGACCAATTTAGTTGTAGACATAGTGGGAAAAAATAAAACATCAGTGGGAAAACAAAAGCCATCTCCCACACTAATCAAAGAAAATAAAAATATAAAGAAAAGTTTTAGTTAGACTTGATGCTCTCTGGTGCATTTGAGATTTGTATTTCTTACGGTTAAAAAAGAAACAGCTATTCAGACAGCTCTAAATATCCTGTGCAGTAATCTTAGAATTTATGGGTACCTGCTGGTTACAGTTACATAGTATTTTGAATATAATGGCTTAGCTTTATCTTATTGCCATGCTAACCACTGCAGGCTCCATTACCTTTCAAGTACCTATCATAAATGCTGCCATTAGCCATAGCCTCTTTTATGCGATACTGTTCCTAATTTTTCCAGATTTAACAATTAAATCACTGTTCTTCATAATTTTATCTGTCTTACCTGATGAAAAGGTGCCTTTGATTCTAACTAGATCAAGTTAATTTCAGTCTTGCTTTCTTTCTACTTTCTTTTATAACTGCATTTCTTTTGGTTCATGTTTTGACAGAACTCAACTAGAATGCCAAGTTCTACATTTCTTTGAAGTGAAGGGCATTGAATCAGGTTAAATGTGGAAACACAAGCTTCCTAATTATGTATGTTACCACTCTGCAGAACCATTAATCTTTTAAAAATAACACACTTGTGCTTCAGAAAGCACTGAATGGGTTGTTGGCTCTCAACAGAAAACACGAACAGTAATGCAAATGCACAATCACTCTTGCAGGGGGAACTTTGGAATGATTTGAGCTCCAAGCTTTCTCATTTGTGAGCAAGACCCAGCTACTACTGCTGAAGAGCATGAAATTGAGCTGTCATTACTTACTCATTATATTTTATAGAGCTAGGAATCATTAGGAATCAAGGATGTGAGTAATGAAAAATGGAGAGGTTATTTGTATCAAATTCTTACTGTTATACCTCTCTTTCCAATTTAGTATTATACAAATTTGTCCAAAATTATTCAAGTATATTTTATTTTTATAAAATCTTCCCTATATGTCAATATCAGAAAGGTAACTTTCATCCTATTCCCTTCTCACAATGATCCACCTCTAAGGCATTCCTTAAAGTCTAATTTATCTCTGATTCTTAACTACCATTTTAAGACTGTTCACCTTTTCCAAATATCCCCTGCCTTCAGAAATCAATGGCAAGCTTATGCTGTTTGAGGTTAGCCCCTGAAAGGGTTGCTAATGGCTTCCTGGCTGAAGGTCTTCTATATAATCCTTCTAACCATAAAGGATTTAGGATTTAGCAGTTGTCCTCCATAATTTTAGCTTCAGATAATATTTAGTTGGCCACCTATGGGCACAATTGCATGGAAAACTGCATTTCCTAAATTCAGCAAGGTGGTTCTAGAAGTGTTATTTTAAGTGCCTAAACCTGGATAGACATATTGTAAAGAAAAAAATGTTATTAAGTTAGTAAATTACCACATAATGTAGACTTTGAGATGCATTTTTTAACTGTAAAAAGGGATAAACTTGGCCACATTGTGCAGTAGTTTATATTGGTATAAGAAAGAGTAGCTGAGGTGACTTAAATAATTTTTCAAAAATGTTATCAGTAAATACACAAAAGTAAATTCGGAGTGTAATTTAGTCTAGCATTCAAGGGTGTTATTTTTAAGAAAAGGGGAAAAGGAGGGATGAAATATGTCCAATATGAGGGCAATTTGAGAGAATTGGGGCTGCTCTGCCTGGGGAAGAAAGCTGAAGAACTTCTGACATGGGCAGGGAGTAATAGGACAAGGAGGAGTGGCCTGAAACTGAAAGAGGGGAGGTTTAGATTAGATATTAGGAAGAAATTCTTTACTGTGAGGTGGTGAGGCTCTAGAATCACTTGCCAAGAGAAGTGGTTGCCCCATCCTGGAAATGTTGAAGGCCAGGTTGGATGGGGCTTTGGGCAACCTGGCCTAGTGGAAGGTGTCCCTGGCCATGTTGAGGACATTGGAACAAGAGGATCTTGAAGGTCCTTTCCATTCCCAACAATTCTATGAAAAGATGACTCTCACAGCAGCTTGGATAATAAATTAAAGGGTGTCTTCATTGTAATTTTAATGCAACAAGGTAAAAATAAATTCAAAATAGAGTACCATACCAAATACTAGAAAGAAAATTAACTCTCCTTGGATCAAGTAAGGATGCATGTCATTTTGACACCAGTGCTCCAAGGCCCTCACAACTGTAATATTTGTAATGTGATGGGACATTTTTTTCTCATCCACAGACCACCTGGACAAGTCAGACAAATAGGTCTTTCTGAGGAGTGTGGAATCACCTACTGCCTTCACACTACTGATCCTGATATCAAGGTTTGAATAGTTATGCACTGTATTTATAAATTCAAAGTCAAATTGGAATTTTATGGTACTAAATTTAGTGCTCTGGGTCTCTAGTTCCACTAGCACCGCAAGATAAAACATAATTTTTAGAACTTGAAATCTTGGACTCATTTTAGGTGTAACCATTTAGTTCTATTTGTAGAAAAATCCTATGATTACCTATAAAGCCCAACATATTGACGTATTTTTCCCTTCACACTGTGAAGAATTTAGTAAATACAGCCTTACTTATAAATAGCTTTTTCATTGAAGCCTTTGAATGGGCATGGTAGGAGAGCAAAACAAGACACAAAAAATTACTTGACTGTATTTATAAAGTTCATGATAAAGAAAAATAATTTCCAAACTGACCCTGAAAATACAAGCTAATTCTTAGTGCAGCTATTTGACAAGTACTGCTCTGGCAAGCTTACAGAATGCTTACAAATTAAGAGGAAGGTGGGACTGGAAAGAAAGCTAATTAATTAGCACTTTTAGTATCTCATATGCAAAGGACAACGTGGGCTTGTAAACAGCATTACTGTAGTATCCCTAGTGCAAAACAAGATGTGGAAGAATATGGGGGTACCTAGAAGATTACTTCCACACAAACTTTGCTAAGGGAATAATTAGATGACAGTACTCAAAAAATCAAGTCAATCTACTTTCTCTTATGAATGTTCACTCCACTTATGAAACATGGAAATTTAGGAGTCGTGGATGTTAAAAACCAGTTTTCAGCATAGCATTTGCCCTAAGCCTTGCTCCAGGCACCTGTATTAGTAGCAGAATGATGTCTAGTTTCATCCAGAGCAGCCACACTCTTTCACCCGAGCACAGGCTGACTTACAGCTCTTAAACCTTTTGCAAACCCAGTACTGGAACCCCTCCAAGGTTTCAGATTTTCTGCATGGCACTGATCATTTGATGCTGCTGCAGGGACAGAATAAATATACAGTGGCAAGCTAGGGCTAGTTGCACCTCTGCCTGGCTTCTACAAGCAGGAGTGCTTTTTGGCTCCTGAGCACAAATTTTCCTTACAGCACTGTGAGCAGAAATTTGTATTCCAATATTTTGTATTCCAGTTTTGGCACAGGACAAAATTTCGAGTAAAATATAGCTCTGTACAGACTTCACACTAGTATCAGAGTTTCATCTTGTAGAGATGACCTGATTTTTCCCACAATTCATTAGGTAAATTAATTTTTGTTGTAAGAACTCTCTCATTGTTTTCAATAACAAAAATAAAGTAGTTCTGTATATGAGTAACTGACACTGAATATGATCCAGACCCTTTCAAGGCATAAAAATATTTTACAAATATACACTACTTAAACCCTTAAATGTAGCATGCCCCCTAATGTAAACATTAAAACTAAAGACTTAACACTCTCTTACAGCAACTTGTCAGAAAAGGTAGTAGAGTAGCTACATTGAACTTTTGTTCTCAACATGTAAAAGATGAATTTTCAGTTATTAAAACTAAGACCTATCAGTGTAACTGTTTCAGAGTGTATATGTTGTGACCATAAATTTGATATTGCAGTACTGCTCCAGGAGTTTATCTACGATGTTAAATAGAAATGGAACACTACATAGAGACTGGTGTTGTGTCCACTATGAATTTTTATATATATATATATGACTAATAATGTGTTATGCACATATATTGCCTGTTTCTATGCAGTAGATATACGCTTACAGAGATAAATGCTGTGAATAAAAATGGTTTCATACCTACTTGAAAGCTCCCACTCTGTCCTAAAGACCTATTACATAGTGTCAAACTAGACAGCAATGAGAAATGAGATAATAATGGTAAGATGAAAATGAAAAATAGCAAAAGGCAGTACTGGAAGTCCTTTTGGTGTTTCATCAATGCAATTACTGAAAGTGTGAATATTTTTTAAAAGACTGGACAGTATGAAAAAGAAATGCTAAATGTGTGAACAGAAAATAACTGAATGTAATTGGACATCCTTTATAACATGTATACCTTATAGGCCTTCTTTCTAGAAAAGGAACACTCTTGTAGATTTTGCAATTATGGCATTAAAATGCATTCAAAAATGTTCTCCACCATTCTTCACACTGTTACATATGCATAGGTCAATACAGTCATAATAAGAGAAGTGGAAATTTGCTCAGATAAAGAGTGTCTGATGCATGACAGTAGACTTCCACACAAAATCCAAGAGTTTCATATGAACAAGAAATAAATGAACAAGCTTAGTGGCTTCATTATGGAGGATACAGCTTTGAGCAGCAAATGTCATCTAAACCAGATATTCAGGACCAGAAAACTTCAATATGAGGTACTGCACTTGTTAAACACTGTTTACATGAGAACATAGATATCCTGCAGTCTCTTCATGACATCACAGGGAAAATTTACCAACACTTCTAACCTTTCTGCAGTTATAATCCCTAATACTACAAAGGAAGACTTCTGAATTGGGACTTGGCTGAGTTTTCCAGCAGTTCAACCACAGAATTCCAAGCCTTAAGCAACAAATTGTCTCAAGTTCCATCTTATAACACAGTTTAAATACACTGCCTTCTCAGGAAGCTTTTGATCTTGAAGTTTCTCACCAGAGGGCTGTACATGATCACAGTGTTATAACAGATCCATAGTGCTGCAGCAGCACAGAACTCTCCCTTTTGGGAGGTGCTTGGGCATTCCCACAAAAACCTGAACTTACATTAACCCACTGAACTCTGTGTTTCGTGGGCTTCCCCCACCCCTGAACCAAATTGTTCTAAAATTAAATGCAAACACTGATCATCCAGTGTAGTTTCTAATCTGGCCCAGGGGATCTGTTAAAAAGGCTTGAGTTGCCCTTCAGGGGTGGGTAGTAACATGGGGAAACACCTGCAGTTCTCCCCTCACCGCTGAGGACAGCATCCTAAAAATAAGTGGTCCTCAGGCAGGACACACCTGTAAGGAAAACATGAGTCTAACAACAGATATCAGATATACAATCAGACCTGATGAAATTAAAATATCTAATTTGCGTTATCGACCTCCTGATCCAATTTTCTTTTTAACAAGCACTAGAATTCTGATGGGGTTTATATATAAATTATTCAAAATACCTTGCTTAAAAATAGCATTTCTCTGAGAACTTCAGTTCTATTGTTTCAGGTGGGTTTTTTTTTTATGTTTTTGTTTGTTTTTTAATAAAACCAGCTAGCTCTGTAGAACCTAACTTATAACTGCTTTGTTTTATCTGCCAAGGCTCTCTTTAGAATACCGTCTTCTACCCTTGGAGACCTAGTGTAAGAGCTGGGAAGCAGCCTCTCATTATACAGAAAAAGGAAGACAAAATTTCATAAAGTGAAAAAAATTAGGAGACTATTGCAATGGAAGAATTAAACAGAAGCTGGTAGAAAAACTGTAATATACTTACAATATATTGTTTGGATCCAGAAAATTTAGACTTTTCTCTCAGAACCTATAGAAGCTACATAAGAAAGGGAAAATTGTTAATACTTATAAATTACATATGATATGAAATAATATATATTCTATTCTTTACATCAAGTAAATGAATATATTATTATTTTACTATAGTGGTAGTTTGCTTTTTAAATTGAAGATATTTTTAAACACTCACTTTTTTTGATTCGTAGGTTCTTACATATATAAAAATAAATTATCGTCTTTTAACTAACACTTTTCACTCTTATAGAGGTGAGAAAAGAAACGTGAGAAGTAAAAATAAGCTTTTAAAAAAAATCTTCACATTTTCTGGTTTTCATCAACCAGAGAGAGAGTAAGAAAATACTCTTAAGAGAGTAGAAAAATAAATTTATAGAGAAATAGTAAAGACCTTACAATATAAGTATGTAAATTTTCATTTATTTCTTAGGAGAAGCTTTTTGATTTCTTTGAAATGTAGATCAAACTTTTTTTTTCCAAATTTTCCCTGACATATACTATTCCTATGAAACTGTGGAATACATTCCATAAAATGTTTTAAATAATCTTAATTTTGGAGATGTAGATGCTTATGAAAATACCTTGCATACAAACAAATGTCATTTCATAATAACAGGATATTACTATAGGGACAGTTCAAGTTGTTATGGTAACAAGGTCTGTGAAAAGGGTAAATGAGCTTACAAATGCTTAGGTATTTTTCTTTGCAGAATGTTTTATATTCAGTTTTCTCATTAAAAGTCTTTTGAACTGATTCTGAGGATAAAGTATGAAACAAAAGAATTATAGAGTGATCATTAATATTCTGAAATATAACTACCGATTTTGTTTACACTCTTTATATGTTAACACCTGTGTAATATTTGTATACTCTGAAGGAAAAGAGAGAAAAAGCTCAATGAGATATCCTATTAGCCAGATGCCCATTTCAGTGTAATTTTAAAATTTGCCTAAAAAAAAAAAAAAGAAAAGGAAAAAGGCCAGTCATAGTCAGGCAGTTGAAATAGTGCTTCTACTAAAAGCTGTTTTTAGGGGTCATCAGAATTAGCAACTTGGTTGAATCATGTTGTTCTGCTAGCTGACTGTAGTGTTGCGCACACCCAGGAGACAAAGTCTGGGACAGCCAGAGCTCCCCTCTGTGCAGCACGGCTGTGCTTTCACAGACAGGCTGCCTGTGTTTGCCCACACCAAGCCTGGCTGGAGCCACACCTGTAGGGGCTGCCAGGATGGTGTGGAAGGGCACCAGAAGGAAGAGAGAGGGAAGTCGTGGACTTCTGGACCACACAGGTGTGAGGTTCAGAGCAGTTTGAGGGTTGCCTTTTATCTCTGTTTCAACAGAGAGCAGCTGCAAGACAAGATATTGATGCTTTTATTCACTGACTGCTTTGAGGTCCTAACCTGATCTTTTGTGTTGCTGGCCAATGTGAAACAGGCCCTATTAATTGTTATAGTGCTCTGACAAAAAAGAGCAACCCTATTCCCTACTTTGTTGGTTCTCAACAATGGTTCAATTGGCTTTTTGAACTTCCCAGGAAGTAATTTCCACACTGAGAGTCAATCTGCCAGATAGATATCAAGTGGAAATATATCATACTTATGATGCTGAAGCAATAAAACTTCCTCTGACTGTCCAAAAATGCATAAGAGAAATGATAGAAGTACTCCAGTTTACACACTGCAGATTTTCAATAGATGGTCACATATTTTGACCTAAGATCATAACTTACTCTGACTAGTATTATGATGTAACCTATCTGGGGCACTTTCAGAGTAGGGAATTTGATCAAAACAGGGAAGAGCAAATGATTATTTTGCTGAAGATATGTATTATATTTTCCTTCTATTATTTTATTATTCTATAGATTTCTAAAAGTTAATTTTCTAATTTAGTTTCTAATTTAAATGTTCTGGAGAAAAAAAGGAATCACTTCTAATTATTGGGCTATGGGTAAGATCTGGGATATTTTTATATAAGTAATTTATATTGGAAAAAACAGCCACTCCAGAAACCAGAATTTTTGATCAAGAGTCTAAAAACTGGGTCTGAGCTGTATTTGCAAATCTCGATAAAGCTATAAATATATATTCTGGCACCTCATCTGAAATTAAAGAAATTACAGGTTAAATGCACTCCTTATGGAAACTTAGAACCTTAGCTCCATGAAGTAACTTCATTTGGCAACAAAGAATACTGTGACATGACAGAGCTTATTAACTACTTCTCTGTAATTAGTGTAGTGTTTGAACTATCACCTAGTAAAGTCTCAAACTGTACCAGACACCCCCACTGGCAGGTCATTAGTCAACTGGAAAACATCCCTTAATCTGGGGACTCTACTGGAATAACTGACACTAAACATGATTTCTGGATGCATAAAAAGGGAATTTGCTAGACTCATGCATTCAGTGTTGATGCATCTACAATGGGTGCTGCTAGTAGAAAGTAACCTGAATTCCATCACTTGGAATACTAGTCATTTGAAAAAAAAAAGAAAAAATCATCTTATTTTTTTTAAAAAAAGTTGGCTAATTTGTATGAACAAAGGATAAAAAATATAAAATCAAACACATTATGTCTTTCCCATTTCTATTATCCACAAGTCTGTCCAGATGCTATGTGAAGTGTTTAAACAGTAAACTCTATTTAAACGTTCAAAAGTAAAATATTTATTCTGTGTGTAAAACTCCTTTCATAGAATAGCACAAAGTTTCATTATATAATCTCAGCTACTGTGTGTTTCACTGTATGTGGCAAGAAATGCTGCTGTTTATAAAACCTGTAAAAATACTTCATAATTAATACTACAAATACTTGATTTTAATTCTCTGCTTATAAAGTGTGTGCAGTTAGGTGTGCCTCCAGAGACAGAGCAGTAGGCACATCCATTATGCATGGAAGAATAAGTACATTCAGTTATAGATCAGAATAGGCAGCAGTTATAATCTAAGTTGTCTATAGTTTAATACCAGAATACTCCTGATGATGAATTTGCTGTATACACAGAATTTAACAAAAAAGTTCCAGAGATTAAACAGTTTTCAATTGGCCCAGAAGCGCATGGCTAAAGCCCTTACATAATTCTCTTCTTCAAGATGAGATTGATTAGATGTATTGATTATTCCTTCACTGGAGTGAAGCTGCTCCAGTGTAGTGCTTTTACAACCATTTGTCATAAACCAAGGCTCATTCACCCCTGTGGAAAATATTTCAGTATCTTTTGGAGAGACCTAAAATCAGAAAGGTAAGTTTTGATAGTATGATGATGTGGAGCAGCATAAATTCTCTTGCATGATACAAAAACATCAAGTATTTTATCTAGGAAGAATTGTGGTAATATTCATTGGAGTACCACTTTCTACAGAGGCAGAAACCTGAAATTAAATGCAAGGATATAGTTCTTGGGTATATTAATTTTCTTTTGTTTGTTTTTGTTATTTATTGACCAAATTCAATAAAAATGCTACCAAGAAATAGTCATACAGAACCAGATCATAAAATAGCAATTCAGGTACCAACATTATTTTTCTATTAACAAAAACAGTAAATTGTACCTCCATTTTTATTCTGTTATTCATTACTTTCTGAAAATGTTCTTCATATTGTATATTTTATTGGCCCACATAATCTGTTCTGCAAATTTCACAGTCCACCTATTAATGTTCAGTATATTTTAACCAAATCATAGTTATGATATAGCTCTCCCAATAAAACTATATATATATATATGTGTAAATAAGGAAAAGACCCCATCTGCATGAGAATCAAAGGCTTTCTATGTAAAGAAGTTAGATATAAGTAAGATTATATTTAATTTTCTTCAGCTCCTGAAATAATCTATGAACTACTCTTCTATGCACTGTTCAGCTAAATATTCAGATTATTTAGGATCTCTATTATTCCTTTCCTGGTCTATTTTTATGTATACACAGAGTGCTTTGTCTCAAAAGTGCAAAATGTATGCAGTGCTATTTTACTGTTCTGAAATCTCTGTTTATATATTCCAAGCTAGCTGGAACTTTTTCAAGGACCTTCATTATCTCAGACATTTTGAGAATATTTTGAAAGCTTGAATAAATTGCCTAACCACCAAATGCCTAGGGCAGCTAGGCAGTGTCTGAAGACTTAGTGAATTGAGTGACTCTTAAATTAGATATTTGCATGGTTATTTTTAATTAATCACCATATAAAATGTAATTAGCATGCACCACTTATCACTTGAATAGCAGTTGGCAATTTTTTTTATTTTGTAAATTCTTCATAGAGCACAGAGTTCAGGAGAAAAGAGGGAATCCCAGAGGCTGATGTCAGGAATAATCAGGGGTGATTTAGTTGGCTGTAGTCCAGGATATAACACGCAGTTTATTTCACTCTTTATTGGTCAGGGTTTTTTAACTTATATGTATACAACCATCCACGTTCATCATATTTTCCCTTTGTTTTGGAACAGTAATGTTCTTGCTAAGAAAACAAACCTGTAAGACTTGCAGAGAACCTCATTTTCGAGTGCTGTGGGGTTGGATGCTGACTGTGAAGGCATCAGGTAGTACCAGTGAAGGGCGCCTACTGTCTTCAATGAACATTTGGTTGTGCTGGTATGGATGAAAACCCTTAATGCTGCTTTAAAGTGGAGTGAAGAACACACAAGAAGAGCTGTAAGGCAGGAAGCACGCCTAGATGAACATTGGGAAGCCAGTTTCTTCCTGTCTGGAGGCAGCCTGCCCTCAGCTAGGATTCAGAGGTACAGATCCTTCCTAACAAAGAAAGGAGTCGATATCAAATGTTGTTGCACACCCCCAGCACCTCCTAAGACAACAGTCCTCACTGCCATGGTGCCCAGAGCTGGTAAGCACTTTCAGAATCACACAGATGCACTTTTAAAGGCCACACAGAGAACATTACCTGTGCATGCTTGAACAAGCCCATTCCCTACAGTAACAAGAGATGGGTTGTCTGGTCCTGCGGCACACTGATTGTCCGGGCTCATTAACATCTGTTCCTGATGACATGTCTCAAAAGGGCACTT